GGATCTGGGGATCCAACCACAGCATCCTGAGCCTGACTGCTTTGTTTAAGCAGTCACTTAAACAGCTGAGCTAATGGGCAGGCCCCCTCAGGGAGTATTCTGTACTTTATTCAACTTTATATGAATGTAGAAAAATATTTTTGAAAATGTGGAACATGAGCCGGGTGCAGCGGCACACATTTGTAATCTCGGTACTGAAGAGGCTGAGGAAGGAGGATTGCTGAGTTTGAGGCCAGCCTGGACTACATAGTGAGTTCAAACCAGCCTGAAGTGCACAGTGAGACCTTGTTGGAAGAAAATTTTAAAAAAGATGGAACATGGAAAATACCTAAAAATATATTCTTATCATTATATAGTATTTTCCTTTTACTGTAAAAATCTTTTATTTCTTATACAGTAATGAAAGTTACAAAAGAGTAATTAGGCCAAGAAAAAGAAATAAAATGCATTCAAATCAGAAAGGAGTAAAATTATCTCTTTGCAGATGACATGATCTTATATGTAGAACAATGCTGAAGATTCCACATACAAGCTCAGGATACTTTTTTTTTTAATTTTAAAAAATATTTATTTATTTATTTATTTATTTATTTATTTATTTGGCACAGGGCCTCATTACGTAGCTTGGACTCATGGTGACACTCCTGTCTCAGCTTCTCCAGTGCTGGTATTATAGGCATGTGCCTGGTTTTGGTGGCTGACATTCAGTACTGGGAACTGAACCCAGGTCCTTGCACTTGCCAGGCAGGTACTTAGACCACTGAGCTATCTCCTCTGCCCTAGGATGCCTTTTTCTAGATTTACTTTACAAATTCATTTCTATCTTGTTTAAGTAATTTAATTTGAAGTTATATTATTGGCAGCAAGAGAGGAAGTTAAAATAGCTGGCCTGTAAGTCTGTGTGTGTGTCTATGTGAGAGAGGGGTTGTGGGCAGAGAAGTGCTCCTGGGGAAAGCAAAAGACAATACGTGGTCCTGGCGAATTTCACACAACTGGACTACCAGGGACACAGGCCAATGGCTAGATCAGTGGTTTTTTTTTTTTGCAGAACCAGGGATTGAACTCAAGCCCTTGCGCTTGCCAGGCAAGTGCTTCTTCTACTGAGCCATCTCACTGGCCCCCGTTTTTTAATTTATTTTTATTTATTTGATATAGGGCCTCCCTATGCAGTTCAGACTTGTAGTGATCCTCCTGTCTCAGCCTCTCTAGTGCTGAGATTATAGGCGTGCACCACCATGCCTGGTTCTAGGGCGGGCATGGCATACAATACCAGGAATCAAACCTGGGTCCTTGTGCTTGTCAGGCAAGCACTTAGGCCACTGACCTATCTCCTCAGCCCAGCTGTACTTAATCTTGTATTGTCTATTTCTGCTTTTGTGCTACAATGTCAAAGTTGACTACTTACATCAAAGACTATAGCTCACAAAGCACATCTACAGAACAAGTTTCCTGATCCCTGAAATAAACTAGTATTTTCTAGGAGAAAGAACCCTTTTCTCTGGACTGACCTCAGCAGCATATGCTTAAGGATTACCTATAGGAAATCAACGCTTAATCTATAAAGCATGGCTCTGAAGACTGCCATATAGTTGCCAGGCATGGTGGAGCTTGCCTGCAATCCCAGTACTTGGGAGGCTGAGGCAGGAGGAGCACTATTTGAGGCCAGCCTGCACTACATAGTGAGACCTTGCCTCAATGAAAAAAAAATGTTGGGGAGATAGCTTGGCAATCTAAGCCTGAAACAGCATGGTGGCGCAAACCTGTAATCACTGTGCTAGGGAGCCTGAGACAGGAAGATCACTATGAGTTTGAGCTGCATAGTCAGACCTTGTACCAAATAAATAAAAGATCTAAAAGAGAGACAGACAGACAGACAGAGCTAGACTGCCATATAAGTCATTTAATTCTGGGGCATAAAAAAGCTGAGGTCATAAGCCACAAAACCTCACTGGGAGCCTTATGTTTTGAACTTCCTGTTCTGTGTTATTGTTCTTTATTCCTGGGCCAGGATCCACTTCTTTTTATAGCAAAGATAGAGCTATATCACTGAAGATCATGTTGAGCTTTGTTGCTGTTGTTTTTTTTGGTTTTGTTTTTTATGTTGAGCTTTGTTTTTGCTGGATACTAAACTCTGTGTGAAGTTATATGAAATGTCTGAATTTTGTTACATAGTAAATGTTGGTGCTTCACCCAGATCTTTTTTTTTTGCAATTTACAAGAATTATGTGCCCTAGCCAGGTGTGGTGGCACACACCTGCAATCTCAGCACTCGGGGAGGCTGAGACAGGATTACAAATCTGAGCACAGCCTGGACAACAGAGTGAGACCCTACCTTAAAAAATAAAAAAGGGGGGCTGGCGAGATGGCTCAGTGGTCTAAAGCACCTACTTGGAACAAGCTTGGCAAAGCACAGGGACCACGGTTCAATCCCCCAGC